ATTGTTTAATAAATAAAAAAGTAGTAGGCTTTTTAGTGTTAAAAACCTGCGAACTGAGAAAAACAGCCAAAAGTAACGAAAAGTAGGTCAGGAAAGTACCATATCTGTGTAAACTGCAAAGCCGATTGTAAGCTTTGGGTGTTTCCGAGATGTAGGAAATTAAGTTTATTAAATACATGAGAAATCCAGCTTTCCCATGATATCAAATACAATATAATGACGGATAGAAAACTTTTCATAGAGAGCTTGTAAGATTGGGAAAAAATAATTATTTTTTAATTAATAGGGTCATAAAAATCGTAATTCAAACACATAAAATATTTTTTTTCTCTTTAAAGTTATCATTTTCCTTATTAAAAAATGGACAAAGTACACAAAAGTGCAAGAAACCCAACATGACGAAAAACAAGAAATTTTGTGATTTTTTTCCGCGCATATCCCCTTAACAATAAAGGCCACAGGAACGAATCATATATCTACAAGAACAAGACGTTTGGCCGCTGGTGTAAATACCAAGCCATATTAACAATAAATCAGCTGGGCCACTAAGCCAGTCTTCGCTGCCAGCCCTAAGGCTGCCACTTTAAGGCCTCGACTAGCCTCTAGGCCTAGCTATGTGTGTAAGAGACCTCACCATATCCACGCTTCCTCATATATAGACTGACCTGTTGGACTCGATCTGATCCAGGTAATGGCCCTTCGTCCATAAACTAAAAAGACGTCTTTGGGCTGGCGAGGCTATTAAAACGAACACAAAAGCATGCTCACACCTAGGGTCCGGTCAAGCTGATCTCCGGCCGCAGTCCACGGCTGCGAATGCTCATAAATTATCTGTTGACCCTAAGACAGATCCCCGTGTCTTGAGAACCGGGCGGCATCTTATGGTCTATGGGTTGGGGAAACATTACCCCGACCCAGCTACGACCAAACAAAACAACAAAATAATTACAAAAAAACAAGCAACACGTGAACAGCAATAACATAACCAACCAACAGGCTTACTTAAGAATCAACCATAGAGTACAACCTAACATGCTTACTTAAGAATCAACGATAGAGTAGAAGCCAACACACACACACACACACACCCATATATATATATATATATATATATATATATATATATATATATATATATATATATATATATATATATATATATATATATACATTTTTTCCCTTCTTGCCAAGTTTGAACTGTCCGTCAGTTAGAAGTGCCCAAAATTTCGTTCGCTCATTTCGATCTAGACAGAGGAAGCAAGTATAATTGAATAAAAAACGTTTTAGTGACAAGTATTTACGTTAATAATGCATTAAAACTTTAAAGAAAAGCACGCATTTATTTGTAGAAAATTTAATGTCATATTGCATTGTCATCGGGCCTTGACCAACGTGTCGACTTTCAGTGAACTTGATCGGTTAGAAGTGCCCATTCGACTTAGGATTAAGACAGACTGACGGCTGACAGAGAAAGCAAGTTAAATAAAAGCATGCAAAAGGGTAATTGATAGACAATTTACACGTAGTGATTTATTAAACCCAAGTATAAAACTTAATTTTTTTTTAGCGCAATTTCCATTCTGGAGAATTGCGTTAATTAACCCGTCATTTCTGGATGGATGAATGGATGGATGAATGTGTGTCCGCAGCTTTAAGTCGAATCTCCTCCTTAACGAAGCAATATCGAGGACTAGTTCCAAAAGCAATTATGTTAAACAAGTTACGAAGATGAACATAGGCCATAAAAATTCCGGGTTTCTTTCATGGATTTCCCGGAAAAACCAAAAAACCTCGAAAAAATGCAGTTTTTTGCACATATCTCGGCAACCAGACCACTTAGCGACTTGAAACATGTACCAATCGATTTCTGCCATAATTTAGAACAATATTGCCGAATACGTTTTAAAAAATATCCTTTCGTTCTGTCACAAAAATTTAATTAATTAAAATTTGGACCGAATTAGTAGGCATTTTTATCCAACCACACCACACGCGTCATCACGTTCAATAGCTGCGCCATCACGTTCAATGGCTGCGTCATCACGTTCAGTAGCTAGGCGCGCAATGGTTTTTAGTCATGTAACTCTATTGTAAATAAAACATGTATTTTAACCAATGGTTTTACTAACCCTGCTCTTGATTTACGCTACGACAGAGCTATTTTTAGATAACATAAGGAATTAGATAGCTTTTAAGAATGACGGCTGGATTTGAGAGAATTAACTATAAAGTTTTTGAGATATTTTGTGAAACATTAGGCTTAGAGCGAGAAAGCTTTTAAAATAGAGAAACATAAAAAAGGAATGTAATTTACTTCCTGATAGGCACGAAAAATTAAACTGTGACTGTAAGGACATGTACATAGGTTTAAATAAAGCAAATACATTTACTGTAACTGTTGAATCCTTCAAATTATTGTAATTAAATGAAAGGAGATAAGACTGACGGTCTGTACGATATAAAATTACTATCAGTTAAATCTGATAATCAAACAGATAGGCAGATGTGTCTGTTAAACTGTTATGTTACATTTTATGTGCATCTAAATATTACAAAGCAGGCATACTTTGGCCAACTTTTTAATTGACCCTTTAGATTACACTTTAGCCTACATAGGTTTAGGCCACAGACGTATGTGTTTTTGTGTGTATGTGTGTGTGTGTGTGTGTGTTTAAAATGTGTTTTCAGCATATTTTATATACCACATTAATAAGGTCCCTGGCAAGCAAAAGCTTTCTGTTTTATACCCTTTGGCCAATGCAATCTCTATACTACTAAAACTCAACTTTGTTTACATTTTTGAATATTTATTTATTTGTCTGATTTACTACAGGAAAGAATCTGCCATATGTATAGACCTGTAAAATAGTATGTAGGTAGAGAACAATTTTTCTTTTCAGACAGACTGTTATTCACAAATTTATTTAAAGACGTTAATTAAATTACTGATTTATTCATTGGTAGATTAACCACATTAATGTTAAAAGTTTCAAACAATAGCTTTATTTTGACCGAATAGTGACGTCACATTAATTGTTTACTTTTTAGTACAATAAAATGGCGGCTTCTATCGAAGAAGATGGTGTTCCCATTCCAATGTTTAACTCGTTCTAAAGCTAATTTTCTGTCGGCTATAGCTTTAACTATACGTCAGTTTACTGTATTTATTACGTTCCAACACTTATATAAATTTTCAACTGTCTTTTTTATTTAGTTTTACAATAAATTTCTCTAGTTCTACAATCTGTCCAAGAAAGTTATTTATAGATCTAAATATCAGGTGGCCAAGAAAGTTATTTATAGATCTAGATCTAGAATCTAGGTCAAACCAAAGATTAATTAGATACAAAATAAATATAAATTAGATAAAAATACAATCCATTTTAAAATCAAAATACATTTTTAGTCCTTAAATGCTTGATATAAATCTTTGTGATTTATCAATCTAGATCTAGATCTATCTAGAATATGATTGTCTAATCTAGATCTAGCAAGAGTTACGCAAAAACTAGATTTAAGACTTAAGCAAACGAGTCGTAGAATCTAGATCTAGATCTAGATAATTTCAGACCTTCATTATTTTAGATAAATCTTTGTTTGTTTAGCTATGTCATTGGCTAATTTAATTTGAAAGTTACTACTACTAGACTTAGATCTAGATCTAGATAGGGAATATGCGCGTAAATCAAGTTGCATAAGGAGACTCAAAGTATTAAACTATACCGTAAAAAACATCAGTGACGTCACGAGTCTAAATAGCTAATTTGTTAGTGTAATAGGCTTTCATGCGGGTGGCACGGGTTCTAGACACGTCACGTCAATGTTAATTTTTTTTAATTTTTTAGATGTGAATGATAAAGTTGCCTATCTGAACTTGGCGGGATACAGGGCAGGTGATGTAGAGTTCATCCGTTTCTTTGTCCTAAGCATATGAAGGGATAGTGTGGTCAGAGACATGCTCGGCCGGAATCGTTTTTTTAAAACGATAAAAACATGTTGTCTGAGACTTGGCGGGACACTGGGCAGGTGAAGTAGAGTTGAGTAAGTCACCTGTGACGTCAGTATATGAAGGGATAGTCCGAAATCGGTATTTTTAAAAGATAAAAAACATCTTTTTGAATGTGGGATCTGGTTTTTTGTGACAATAAATGACAGACGTGATGTTTTTTTATGGATGACCCCCGAAACCCACAGTTATCCAGGGGATGACGGGTAGTCTAGTAAGTTATATAGTCGATGTTATGCCTAGAACAACTGGCTTTTACCTCGAACCCTCTATAAGAAAATAGGCAGTACAAAGAAATTACACGAGTTGAGAGGATATGTCGGACTACTATACTCTGTTGCGTCCTCTGGCGCCCTGGGTTGTGTGTGATTTGGCGCCGTCTTCAGTTTTCAACATAAGGTTGTAATTAACGTAAAGTTCAAAGAACAAAATAAACCTAAATATATTGTCATTAAAAAAAAAACATTTCTAAAAATTGTACAAATTACTTCCGTTTAAGTCAAATAAATTAAAATTACATTGAAAATATTCAAATGTGTGGTTATGTTTGTGTTTGTGTAGTGTTTATGTTTATGTTTATGTTAATGTTTGTAGTTGAGGTTGTGGAGAAGGTTAGGGTTAATGTTGATGCTAATTTTTTTTTTTGTGTTTGTGTTTATGTGGTTATTTTATTAGGCTTAGAAGTGCGGGGAACGGAGAAAGTTTAAATTTATGTTTAAGTTTTTGGTTGAGATGGGGTTTTGTGTGTATGCTTAAGTTTATGTTTATGTTTTTTATTGTTTGTGTTTGTGTTGTGTTTGTGATTATGTTTGAGTTTACGTTTGTAGTAAGGATTTGGGTGTATTTTTGTTTGTTTATTTTTTTTTATTGCTGTGAGGGTTAGAGTTTATATACAACAAAATCCCGCGCGTGATAATCAATCTTCTTTACTAAACAAGATAACAATCAATAACTAATTAGCTTGTTTAAAATTAGAAATTTCCTTTTTTTAATTAGTATCGGCCACGTAGCTTAACGGCGTTTGACTAAGGAAACAATTCGGTCACCACAGCTTGAGAAGTCGAGTACGTTTTGGTCTAATCTCTCGCAAAACTATCTAAATCTTTTAGCAGTAGTATTTATATTAACTAGTCTAAACACATTGTTTTCGCGTTAATTTTCAGATTTTTTGGTCATAAGATTAATGCTCTGTAAGTTATTAAAAACGTGTAAACTGTTTTGTTATTTCTGTATTTTACAACACGTAAACAAAACAGATGAACACAATGCTTCTCGCTCTACTTGTACTGGCCATTGCTGGTCACCTTGTCAAGGCGGACTACCTAGATGACCAACGGGACTTGTCGGCAGCGACCTCTGGATTCTCCCAGAGACTGTACCAGAAAGTGGCACTGGGCTTACCAAGTATGGTCTACTCACCTTACAGGTATACCTTTGCTTTACCAGTTAGATTCTAGTTTCAATGCGTAGATTTTTATTTCGCGGGCGTATTCTATCTTACACGTAGACGTACCATATTTTTTAAATATATACTTTTTTCTTTGGAATCTAGATTTTATAATTTTAAACGTTGGTCTTGCTAAAGAAGATACATTCTAAATTTTAAAACGTCATTAGAAGTGCTAAACATTTTTTCCCTTAAATAAGGGCTTTGTACTTTTTCTGAAAAAAAAATGTTTCTATCAATTTATTTTTGACAACTTCACCTTTGTTGTTATAATAGATTTTTAAATGCTTTATTCTTAATTTAAAAAAAATAAATAGAATTTGATTGATTAATTTCATTCGCATAATCTACCTAGTTATGAGCTCCTTTCTAAAATCAGTATTAACTTACTCGAAAATGAAATTAAGTAAATTATAATATTTTTATAATTATATACTATTATGCACAAAACGTTTATTTTACGCGTTTATTTTTAGCGTCCATTCGGTATTGGCAATGACGTCATTAGGCGCCAGAGGAAAAACAGCTACAGAAATGAAACAGGCGCTTGGGATTACATCTCTTGCTGACAATACTCATGAGATTTATAAGAAACTTATTTCGGATGTAAGATTACAACAGTTGCATATACGTTTCTATCAATTATTCACATAATCGAATGTATTCCTGTAATTTGCTTTCAAATAAGATACTTTACTCATTCTCTTAAACATAAATAGCAGTTTGGTTATTTCAGAAGAGAGCCGCACTTTTCAATTTTGATGCAACGCCAATAGTTGCATTCAATTCTTGTTACGTAATACGCCATTTAATTTAAAATTACAAAGTAAAACTGCCAAGTAAATTAATTAATTACAATGCTTTTTTTGCTTCAAAACACCGACAGATGAACTCTGTACCGGATGTGAAATTAAACACAGGAAACGCCATTTTTGTGAACCCTGCATACGAAATCGTGCCTCAATTTGTGGCTGATGTTGAGAGCAAGTACTTCGCCAAGGCTGGTAACATTGACTTGTCTGCCCCTGGGGGACCAGAGGAACCAATCAACACCTACGTGGCAAATGCTACAGGAAATATGATACAAAATCTCCTTCCAAAAGGTTTGGTATTGTCTGAACACCATCAGTAAAATTCAAAGAAGTGATATTGATTTTAGATTAAAGCAGTGGCGTCGCGAGGTCGGGTGTCATCAGTGTTTCTTCCAGACTTTTTCTGGCGCTTGATATTTTCGGGGGTGCGGTCTACATTTTCCGGGGGGACGGGGCGGGACGGACACTAGCAAAAGTAAATATTTACTATATACATTCAATCTGGTTTGGGGGCGGTAAACTTTCTTCGGGTTGGGGGCTCCAGGTGTGGGACCTCATGGTGTCAACCTCCCGAATACAATAAGTTATATATATATATATATATATATATATATATATATATATATATATATATATATATATATATATATATATATATGTTACCGAGTGTATTTGCTCGCAGTGCCAAATGTTACCGAGTCTATTTACTTGTGCTATCTTTGACCAGCACACAACATCAACCACAATACAGATACTCGGAAGTGCAGGTTTACATTTATCTCTTTATTAAATGAATCAATAGAAATGCTCCACATAGCAATGCATCAATGTTCCACAAGAATACAATGAACCAACTGACCCCCACTGTCCTCACTAGTCCTCACATATCAGAATACACGTGTCCATGGTTCAGGCTTCCAAACTTATTCTCACAACTTAAACACGTATCTACAGTTCAGTCTTCAACTTCTGTTCTCAACTGTCCTCACAAATTACAACACGTATCTACAGTTCAGGCTTCAACTTCTCATCTGCTCTTCTGTCCTGCAGTCTTATTATATCCCCCGTATTCGTAATCGTTTCTATCCGTTGCATCATAACTATGAACTACGCAGTTCTGTCGTATCGCTTCCCAACTACGCCGTGGCTTTGTATTCGTTATCAGTCCACACCACCTGCATCCGTTGCATCAGCCCAGTTTGGCCTTGATCGTGTCTTTAGTTGACAGACTGTATTGCGTTCTTATCGTCTTTAGTAACTACACTAGTTACATATATATATATATATATATATATATATATATATATATATATATATATATATATATATAGAGAGAGAGAGAGAGAGAGAGAGAGAGAGAGAGAGAGAGAGAATGAGAGAGAGAGAGAGAGAGAGAGTATAGAGGACAAATGCAGTATGTCCACTTTTTTGTCAAATCGATGTACATTTATATTGATACTGTCAATAATACGAGCTACAAGAACACTAATGCGCAGTCTAAGAAAACTAGAATGCAAATATTTTATAATTTTTTAAATATAATATTTTGCACTATTTTAATAAACCCATTTTTCTCGAGATCATGTTTTTTTTGACATACTGCGTTTGTCCTCTATACCCTCGATACCAGCCTTAAAAAAATCCTAATTGTAAAGCACCATAACCTGTGTGTTTAGTAAGCCCTGGTTTAGGAGGTATATTACTTTTATAATAAATCCTATCCAAAACCAACCAAAAACAAAAACACACAATTAACCGCAAACATTACACAAACGCAAACACAAATACAAACGGTAATTTTGTAATTATTTTTTTCTCAAAACCAAAACAAAGTAATAAAAAGTAATTTTTATTCCCCCGATGTAAATGTTGTTTTTTAAAAGGGACGTAACAGTGTTTTCCTAATTTATAAAGGGATGTTATGAGTGCTAAAGAACTAAAGGTAAACAATTTAAGAAACAATTAGAGTTTTTGTGAATGATGATACATTTTCTTTAATTAACACTATAAGTTTGGAAAATGAATATAATTTTTTTACATTATTAATTTAGATAATGAGCACTTTAGGTACATCATACTATGGCTATGAAGTCTATTTTTCCCTCTCTTTCATAGGAATCATGGATCCGCTGTTCGCGGTCAGAGGTCACATTCAAAATTAATATATATATATATATATATATATATATATATATATATATATATATATATATATATATATATATATATACTAGGCATACTGCCTAGCTTCGCTTAGGTTTTCAAAAAAATTGAGCAATTGAATGATTAATTAATAGGTGATTGGCTGCTATGTTAAATGCTTAGGGCCTAAATTTATACAGTGAAGTAATTTAATGCTACTCATATATTGATGGAATATTCGCAAACTTATTACTCGCACGGTAATTAGAACTGCAAGGGTTTTCTTAATAGTATCAATCAAATATTATAATGAATTACTTTCGCAATTAATTTTTACAATTTGAGTAAAATGCAAAACTTAATTTTTAACAAAATATTAATGCCTGAATTATGTTCCAAGCGTGTAAAAAATTATTTGTGCTGATTTTCTCTCATCATACTGACACTGAATTTGAGGTATATAGTTGTTTTTAAATTTTGACTTATTTTTGATGATAATTACGGTATGTCGCGAAAACGCGACATCAGGCACTTATTGACCAAACAGTAATTTAATTTTTTTTTAGTCCGGGTCATTTTACTATTTTTACTGTCATGTGTTTCTCTAAATATCCATGCACAAACAATAAAATATCACAAACTGAACATACGGACTTGCAAGGAGATGTAGAATCACTTGCAAAACTCATGAAAACTATACTTTATTAGCTCAGGCATAGAGTTACATAACTCTGCTGCACCTGCTCACTGACTAACTCTTATGAATAGGTATTTTGATGTCTTGCTGTCGTAATTCTACTACACTACAGTAACACACTACATATGAAAGGACTTCCTTCAATGTGTAGAGTCTTAGACGTCCCCGGTTACGTAATTTTCGTGAACTCTTATTCAAGGTCAACTAATAAAGACGCATATTTCTCATTCGACCTATATTTGCTATACACACAAAGCACGTGAACAAATACTGTCCTAAATGACAGTGTTCAGCCATTGTATATTCGTCCATGCTCAATGCAGCTGCTGTGGGTATTTAGTGTCACAGCTGTGGGTACTCAGTGCCACCGGTGTGGGTACTCACTGCTATTGTTGATGGTACCCTATGTTTCCGATTCGTGCTATTGTTCTCGACTGATTCTGATATTGATTACCAATGACAATGCTGTAGCTACATATTGCCACTGGTATGGGTACTCAGTGCTGAAACAGTGGGTACTGAGTGTTGAAGCCATGTGTACTGAGTGCTGAAGCTGTCGGTACTCACTGTTGAAGCTGTGGGTACTCAGTGTTACTGCAGTCGGTTCTTGGTGTCACTGCTGTGGGTACTCAGCGCTGGAGCTGTTGGTAATCGATAACGTTGATGTGGGTACTCAGCCTTAGCAGTGGGTACTCAGTATCACCCCGTGAGTGCTCAGTGCTCAAACTGTGGTTGTTTTGATAAGCTACAAGCACATTGGCGTAGCGAGGTCGGGTGTCACCCGGTGCGGCACTTAATGGTGTCACCCCCCCCCCCCCCCCCAGAGGCGTTGCGACCCTTCCCGGGGACAAACTTTCAAGTTTTCTATTTGCACCCCCCCCCCCAAACTTTCGATTTGCACCCCCACCCCCTCAACTTTTTCTCTATATATTTTGCTATTTTTTGCCTTTGTGTCACCCCCCTAAATGGTGTCACCCGGTGCGATCCGCACCCCTGCCCCTCCCCTCGCTACGCCCCTGTACAAGCATATTGCAGTTAGGAAGGTACAGCGTGGACCCTTCTCCCCACACAATGAGTTGGAACAGCCTATAACCGACTCAATTATGGATGTCATAGATAGATGACCCTTAAATTAAAACATACTATATTTTATAATAGATAAACTAATATAAAAATAAGGCCTGCCGAACAAGAGATGCATACGTTGTATTACATAAGAGTGTTGGATAAGCTAACTCTAAAGAATATTGATGAAGGGGTCCCACTGGCAGGTGTCATATTCAATGAGACCGCTTTGCCGGGAGACTTAGTCTCTACAGAAACGGTATTGTCAGTGCAGTGGCGTAGCTAGGATTTTTGGGCCCCTATACAAAAATTATCAGTGGGCCCCTTCGTCAGCCGTTAGGCCAGTGGCGTCGCTAGGTCGGGTCTCACCCGGTGCGGCACTTCGTATTGTCACCCCCTCCCAGGAAACAAAGCATATATATATATATATATATATATATATATATATATATATATATATATATATATATATATATATATATATATTAATCACTGCTGACTTAATAGTAACGATGTTTATCTGCAGTCTGTTTATAATACAGTTGGATGTAGCATTGTTTTCTTTATAGTTTACGTTTACGTCGTGGTGTCACACCCCCCCCCCCCCCTCTTGATATAATTTTCGATTTGTACTTAGAAGACTATTTAACTTTAACTAATGGATCTGGAAAATGGCATTTCATTCTATAAATTTTTCAATTTTTTGCCTTTGGTGTCACCCCCCCCCCCCTAAATGGTGTCACCCGTTGCGGTCCGCACCCCCCGCCTCGCCTTCGCTACGCCTCTGCGTTAGGCTACAGAGGAGTTAAACGAAGGGATCAACTTCTACTTACGATGGATATTTTTTAATATATAAATATTCTGAAGGCAACATTTTGTATTTTATATGTCCTGATTTTGTATTTATACTGTATTATTATGCTTGCCTACTACTGCTAAAAAGTTTATTTATAGGCTGATTCTCTCAATGTCTTGCACGACAAAGTGATATAGCCTGTAGTGTTATTATAACGATTGGGCTCTGTTTGACCCACAAACACTGAATCCCACTGCCGAAACGGTGGGTGGGGGGGGGGGGGGGGCTTTTTGGAACTTTTAACCTTTTTCTTTTTTAAAATTATTTATATGTAACAAATATTAAAATTCCATTGTAAAAGTTTTAATTTTTTATGAGGGAAAAGGGCTTTACGGTAGCTACGCCACTGTGTCAGTGGTCCTTTTGTCTGGAGCCAAATTGACAGGAGCCTTTTTGTCGGGAGCCAAAATGACGCTAGCCTATTTGTCGGGAGTCGTAATGACGGGGGCCGTTTTGTGGAGAAACTAAATGGCGGGAGCCTATTTGTCGGGAGTCGTAATGACGGGGGCCGTTTTGTGGAAAAAACTAAATGACGGGAGACTATATGTCGGGAGCCAAAA